GGCGTGTGCATTGGATCATCCCCCTCCTTCTCCTCAGGCAGGAGGGGGCGATTCACAACCACCACTAGCTAAAACCCAGGCCTTCCAGGTCAACTTAGAGCCTGGGGGAGCCAGGCCACAAGCATGGTACCCCTGGGAGGCTAAGGATCTCAAAGAACTCAGCAAGGTGGTTGCTGAGGATGGCCCCAATTCACCATGGGCGCTTACTCTCCTTCAGGACATAGCATATCACCCCTGCATGCCTAAGGATTGGCTTGACTATGCAAGGGCTACCCTCAGTGGCCCACAATTCATTAAATGGGTGGCATATTATAAGGAGGAATGCAGGACTCAGGCCGAAGCTAATAGGCAGGCACAACCGCCAATCCCTATTACTTACCCCATGCTCTCGGGGACCTAGGAGGGCTATACTACGGACATTCAACAAGCTGTTGTAGCCGCCCCATATCGGGACCAGGTGCAACAGGTGGGATTGGTGGCCTGGCAGAAGTTGGATGAAGGACCAACAGAGTCACCCTTGGGAGGGGTTAGATAAAAACTTAGTGAACCCCTTGCAGACTTCATCAATAGGGTGGAACAAAGTGTCAAACATAAGCTTCCCACAGGGGACCTCAGGGAATGCATTTCAGCCATCATTTTTAGAATAGTGAAAACTATTACAAATAATATTTACATATGGAAATAAATACACACATTTTTCTGTCAGATTACTAACGCAAGTAATTGAGTCTGTCTATTCTAGGTATTGAGTATAATGGGTGACAATGATTGCCATGATTACTTTCATTGGACCTCAACCTTAAAAATCTTCTAGGGACAGGGGCCAGCTCCATGGCGCAGTGGGTTAATCCTCTGCCTGCGGCGCCAGCGTTCCAAGTGGGCACCAATTCTAATCACAGCAGCTCCTCTTCCAATCCAGGTCTCTGCTATGGACTGGGAAAGCAGTGGAAGATGGCTCAAGTCCTTGGGCCCCTGCACCTGCATGGGAGATCCGGAGGAAGCTCCTGGCTCCTGACTTTGGATCCGCACAGCTCCAGCTGTTGCAGCCAATTGGGGAGCAAACCATTGGGTGGAAGACCTCTCTCTCTCTCTCTCTCTCTCTCTCTCTCTCTGCCTCTCCTCTCTCTGTGTAACTCTAACTTTCAAATAAATAAATAAATGAAATCTTTAAAAAAGTATCTTCTAGGGACAAACTATTTTTACTTTCTGCTTGGAGTTTTGTTTGTTTTGTTTTTCATGATGTAACAGATACTATCATGTTAATAAATTAAAGTAAAAACAGAATCATCCATTAAGAGAATTTCAGTTTGGGCTAGAGAGAAACCTAACTCTATGTCATATCTATAAGCATAGCAGGTGATTCAGAAAGGATATAAATAAAAAGTATGAGCAAAATACATTGGGAAAATTCAAGCAAAGTAAAAAGTTCAGAAGAGTACAATATTAATACCAGGCATTAATTAACATAATCAGGCCAGAAAGTGCTAAACAAGAAAAAGTCTACCTTTATATGCCTTCTGTAGCTTCCCATTGGAATGTTTTGTACTTATTTATTTGAAAGGCAGAGTTACAGAGAGAGACAGAGATAGAGACAGAGAGAGCGAGTTTCTCCAAATGTCAACAATTGGAACTCGGCCCATCAGAAGCCAGGAGTTTCTTCCAGGTCTCCTACATGGGTGCCGGGTCGCAAGCACTTGGGCTGTCTTCAGCCGCTTTCCCAGGTGCATTAGCAGGGATTTGAAGTAGAGAAGCCAGGACTCAAATAGGCACCCATATAGGATGCTGGCATTGCAGGCAGGGGCTTTACTCGCTGCACCACATGCCGGCCTCTGCTTTGTGCTTTTCAAAATACACATTTTACACATGCTTTGTTAAATTTATCCTTAATTATTACATAGCCATTGACATAATTATCAATGGTATCATTTTAAAATCTCAATTTCTGAATATTTGTTTCTGATATATAAAATAAAATTAACTTCTAAACTGATGTTTAGAATTAACTGATGTTAGATCCTGCAACACTGCTAAATTTACATGCCATTCCTAACAGCTTTTCCATAGATTTGTAGGGTTACAATATAAAATTACTTATTACCTGTGTACAAAGAATTTTCCTTTCTTATTCCTAATTGCTATGATTTTAGTTATGTTTTTGATTAATAGTATTAGAATCTCCAGTATGATGTTGAGTAAACTTGTGAGAAATGACATCCTTGACTTGTACCTGATCTTAGCTGGGAATCATTCATTGTTTATTACTGAGCAATACATAATCAGTCTTACATGAATTCTTCTATGGAAGTGAAAAAGGGAGAATATTTTGCAATTCATATTAGGATGCCAGCATCACTTCATATCAAATTCTGACAAGAAACATTCAAGAGATGAAAATTACAGCCCAATAGCCCTCATAAATATAGATGCAAAATTCCTAAGCTAAACATTAGTAAATAGAATTCAGCAATATATGAAAATGGTAAAACACTACAACTTTATTTCATGAATGCAAAATTGATTTAATAATTGCAAATTAATCAAAATGATTCATCACAATAACAATAAATTAGGTTAGCCTTATTATCTTAAAAAACATAAAAGCATTGTGTGCACTCAATACCTATTCATGAAAAAAGCCTTCCTCAAACTACTAGTAGATGGTGTCTTACTCCCTTTGTGCTGCTACAACAAAATACTTGAGATAGTGTAATTTATTTGTAAAGACTTATTTGGAAAACAGAATTACAAAGACAGAAGGAGAGACAGTGAAAGAATGAATGAATGAATGAGAGAGAAAGAGAGAGAGTGAGAGAGAGAGAAAATCTTCCATCTACTGGTTCACTCCCCAAATGGCCACCAGGGCCAGGGTTGGGCCAGACTGAAGCCAGGAGTTTGGAACTCCCATGTGAGTGGCAGGAACCCAAGCACTTGGGCCATCTTCTGCTGCCTTCCTTGGCACATTAGCAGGGAGTTTGATTGGAAGTGGAGCAGCCGGGTCTTGAACCAGGGCTCATAAGGGCTTCTAGCACTACAGGTGGAGGCTTAACCCATTGTACCACATGCTGGTCCTGAGACTGTGTAATGTTAAAAGAACAGAAATATTTTTGTACAGTTGATCAGGAAGTCCAGTATCAAGAAGTTGGCACTGGAGGGAGGGTGGGAGGTGGGGGTTAAAGAGAGAGGAAATTTATTTTAACATTTAACAAATGTTAACATTTCACCATATTCAAATTTCATATGTAGATATTATATACATACATATATACTCTTTTTTTCTTGAAAATGAGGATATTAATTTCACATAAAAATGGACTCCTGGTAATGACCATAAGTGAGAAAAGAAGGGTATTTTGGAGGCCATTGCTGTGGCACAGCAGGATAAGCCTCCACTTCTGGTGCCTGCATCCCATATGGGCACTGGTTCATGTCCCAGCTGATCTTCTTCTGATCCAGCTCTCTGCTGTGGCCTGAGAAAGCAGTGGAAGATGGCCCAAATGCTTGGGCCCCTTACCCATGTAGATGACCTAGAAGAAGCGTCTGTCTCCTGGCTTCAGATAGGCCCAGCTCCAGCTGTTGCAGCCGTTTGGGGAGGGAACCAGCAGATGAAAGAACTTCCTCCCTGTCTCTCCCTCTCTCTGTAACTCTGCCTCTCAAATAAATAATTTTCTTTTAAAAAAAGAAGTGTATTTTGTCATGCAGATGGTATACCTTATGGAAGTCATTATTTAAAACTATATACCAAATAATATGATATCCACACAATGTTTATACTGTCTATACATATTAAATTTCACATATAAAGAAAATGTGATATTTGTGTTTCTGTGGCTGATTTATTTCACAAAGCATAATGATTTATAGTTACATCCATTTTGTTGTCAGAGTTTGATTCTTTTTTAATGGCTGAGTAATATTCCAACACCTATATATACCACATTTTACCTAGAGTTCAAAATTACTTTGAAGATTAACTAAAAGTGTTACTATCAAACTTTATATGTCAAGCTCTGTAGTTCACATGCACCACACAAATAATCCTCAAAAAACTCTATGATATAGATAACGTTATCAAGTTTATAAGGAAACTGGATAAAAGGATTAAGAAATTTGTTCAAGTTAATTAGGCATGTAAAGTATATAGTATATCAAATTATCTGTCGGCACTTGTGCTGGCCGCGGCGGCCATTTAGGGGATGAACCAACGGAAGGAAGACCTTTCTCTCTCTCACTGTCTAACTCTGCCTGTCCAAAAAAAAAAAATTATCTGTCCAAAGTCACACCAATGTAGTGATAGGATGAGGACTAACAGATAGAGTGTCATATACCAGGCATTATGGTAAGTGCCTTATGAGACTTACTGTGAGATACTCTTTCCAGGCATTACCACCTTCAGTTATAAAGTCCCAAAGTAGATATGATCTATTAATTGACTCTTCAATAAATGAACATCAACCAAATGACTCATAACAACTATATAGTTGTCCCTTAATATCCACAGGGTTTTGGTTCAAACTCCTAGCATATACCAAAACCCATAGATGCTCAATGGCATAGTATTTGTATACATCTTCCTTTATATTTTAAATTATCACTTGATTTCTTACAATACCTAATACAATGTAAATGCAATGAAAACAGTTGTTACACCATTTTGCCTACAAAATAATGAGTCCTAAAAACATCTGCACATGTTTTGTAGAAACCCAATCTTTGTCCTAAGTGTATTTTTGGTCCATGACTGGCTGCATCCAAAAATATAGAACCTGCAGATATGGAGGGCTAACTGTACTTGATATATCCTATATTTTTCACATCTGTATCTATCTGTATTGTATATAACGTTCACATCTACAAAACACAGAAAATAGTATAATGCAAAAGTACATGCCATAATTTATATTCTAGTATATGAAAATGTATTTAAATTTTCTGGTTTAGGTAACTGTTGATGGCTTAATTTGGTATTATACTAGATAATATTTTTAGAAAATGTCTCTTACCTGTGCTGAGTGGTCTGAATCACTTTCTTGAGGTAACGTGTAGTGTGCTCTTTGTGATTCCTGAAGTTCTTCTTTTAATTTAGCGTTTTCTTGCTCTTTTTGAAACAGCTGATCCTGAAGATTAACAACACTTTGCCGCAGCATAGCTTCACTTGATTTTGTAGTTTCAAAACAAACATGTAATTCATTGTAAAGCTGTTTCAAAAAATATTCAGATTCTATTAATGCCTAATACTTATATGTTTATGTATAAATATGTTTGTATATATTAATAAATATATATGATTATATGACATAGCACTTTCCCTAAGGTTATTTTAATAGTACAAGAGAGAAACAAGATATAACCAAAAGAAAAATTAAATGATGTAACCAAATATAAATATAAAACTACAACTGATATAAAAAGGCGATTATATTATATAAATATTATTTTACATATATTATATTATTATAGGAAATTATAACTAAATTTCTCAGGAGAATGAAAATATTTTAAGCTACCAATACAACCTTCAGAATACTTCATGAAAAAAGGAAGTAAATAGAGTCATGACAGTATTACCAGAATTGATTAGAAAAAATCATCCTAAAGATGTCAGAAATGTAATATACATATATATAATATACATATTGTATATTATAAATATGTATATTTAGGTACAGTGATAGGAAAGGACAGAAAGAAATAGCATAAGGTATATCAGCCTAACTGGCCTAAGTTTATGAAAGAAAACCTGGGAATAATTCACTGAGAGTTCTAACATTTTCCTATTTATAATAAATTAGTCTCCATTGCTGAGGTGGGGAAGAAGGGATAGTAAGAAACAAAATCAGGCATTAAGGCTGTGTAAGGATGTAAAGACTCTTCACTGCCAGATTAAGGGTGGATTTGTTTGTTTTGTAGACCACTGGGAGTTTCTGAAGACTACAAACAGTGTGATAACAAAGAAGCAATGTTTTGAGGGCATGTTTGATAATTCAAATTTTTTAAAGTCAAGGCAAAATGACATAAATACATTTACATCTAGAGTTTATTAAAACTATGAGATTGGATATGGTATATGAATGGTATCTTCCTCAGAGTAGTACTTCAAAAAGTCCATGGAAATTAAAATTACAGGATAGCGAACATTTTCTGTGAACTCTTTCAAGATTCCTCATATGGTTAAAATGGCATACATCCAATCACATGAATTTAGTTGGTGAATAAAATCTTAACATAGCAGGGAGGGCATTTGGCCTAGAAATTAAGCTGCCATTCAGGATGTCTATTCCTATCAGAGAATTCAAGTTCGCTTGCTTTGGCTCCAAATTCCAGCTTCCTCCTAATGCACACACTACAAGGCAGGGATGATGGCTCAAGTAATTGCCACCCAGGTGGGAGACCTGGATTGAGTTCCCAGCTCCCAGTTTCAGCCATGGCCAGGGGCAGCTGCATGTACAGAGGAGTGAACCAGTGGATGGGAGCACTTGTATGCTCACTCACTCTCTTTCTCTCTCTTTGTCTCTCTACCTCTCAAACAAGTAAATGAAAAGAAATTAATCCTAATTTATGATTGAAATTTAATGAGACATAATTCAATTTTGGTAACTGATACACATGTGGTATCTGTACGTATATCTGCTACTGAACTTAGGAAAATGACCCAAGAGCTAAGATTTGCTTTTAAAATAAAAAAGAAAAGAAAGTATGACAATAGAAAGACCTTAAGACCAAAATCTCAAAGTGCAAATTCTCAAAATTATGTTATTTTATGTGTGGGATTTTAGATTTGCTCATCCAATTAAAAGATTTGAAATATTTGAGAACTAAATTGACAATGAAAGTATTGACAGAAAAATGCATGGTTCAAGCACAATGCTAGGATGTGGTCAAGTGAGTAGCAATATATTGGCCATTAGTGATAAGGCTGTGGCACACCTCACCCTTAGGTGTTATGTTTTCATATATTCCTTCCAGACTTTTCTGGGCCTATTTACTCTTGAAAGAAGGCTATATCATCATCCCTTTACTTGTCCCCTGTCTTCTCTCCCTTTCCTTTGTTTCACAAAATACACAAATGACAGCATTATTTTTCTTGTATTCTCTACCATGATGTCTTTGCCATGCAGCTTATATAGTTCTACTTCCACTCAGAAGTTGCCTTAACTAGATTTGATTGGACCAGAAGCAAGATCATTTTTAATTCTAGACCTCAAGCTACCAGTAAACTTCACTAAAACAGCTTTTCACAGGTTGAAGTTAAATCTTTTATTTCCATCATGTTTTTGGTGACAAAGCCTCAGGGGTGATAAAATGCTGATTTCTTTCTTTCTTTTCTTTTTTTTTTTTTTTTTGACAGGCAGAGTGGACAGTGAGAGAGAGAGACAGAGAGAAAGGTCTTCCTTTGCCGTTGGTTCACCCTCCAATGGCCGCCGCGGTCAGCGCGCTTCGGCCGGCGCACCACGCTGATCCGATGGCAGGAGCCAGGTACTTATCCTGGTCTCCCATGGGGTGCAGGGCCCAAGGACTTGGGCCATCCTCCACTGCACTCCCTGGCCACAGCAGAGAGCTGGCCTGGAAGAGGGGCAACCGGGGCAGCATCCGGCGCCTCGACCGGGACTAGAACCCGGTGTGCCGGTGCCGCAAGGCGGAGGATTAGCCTAGTGAGGCGTGGTGTTGGCCAAAAATGTTGATTTCTTTAGAGATCTTGTAAGGAGGCAAAAGTTTCAGATGGTCCAGTGCTCTGGCTAGACACTATATTATTCTCATTAACTAACATCATAAATTCACTCATCTACACTGGTTTAGGCATCCTGAGGTATTTCCTTGTTCACAATCAGAATTCTTTACAGCAGATTCCAGAGAGTCTTGTTTCTCTACATTTTCTTTACTCTTACAACCTTAATGTTGGAAAGAATCAGACTTTTCTACAAGATTCTGCCCTGTAAAAACAGGTACTCATGGATTTAATAATAAACTTCAGGAAAATCCATCATAATTCATAAGTAACTTAGGATGCTTTCTATTCTTCAAATCATTTTATATTAAATAAATTTAATTAAAAAAATTAAGTCTTTTCCAGTGTACAGAAAACAAATTAGCTCTAGAAATAGAAGCTCAAGCTCCAAGTTCTTTAATTTTCAAGGACTAGTCTGAAGCACTTTTCTTTCCATATTTATTTATTTATTTATTTTAATCATTAATGATTAAAAAAATGCACATGCATTGTAACCCAATCATACAAATTTACTTAAAAGTAAAGATTTCCACAAGTAAACTATTTGTAACACTGAAACAATTTATCACTGAAAATTGTAGCAGATAATGAGAAAACAGTTTAGACAAAGTATAAATAAGCTAACCCATTTCTTTTTAATTTATTTTGTATAATTAAATTATCATTGAATATAACAAATTTATAAAAACACATATTCAGCACCCCAAACATGTTAGATGGCTTATATATCAAAAATCCTGGGGTACAGTGTCGTGCACTGGCAGGTTAAGCCATAGCCTGAAATACCAACAACCATATGAAAACTTTTTAAAAGTCCTGGATACTTCATTTCCAATCCAGCTTTCTGTTAATGTGCCTGGGAAAGAAATGGAAGATGGACCAAGTACTTGGATCCCTGCCACCCACATGGGAGATCCCAACGGAGTTCCTGATTCCTGGCTTTGGCCTGACCCAGCCCTGGCCATTGAGGCCACTTGGAGAATGAACCAGAAGACGGAAGAGCTCTTTCTCTCTGCCCTCATTCTTTCCTTCTGTAGTTCTGCCTTTCAAATAAATAAATAAATCTGTAAAAAAAAAAATACACTGAAAGAAGGGCTGGTGTTGTGGCACAGCAGGTTAAGCTGCTGCCTTAGATGCCAGCATCCCATATAAGAGTTCGTTTGAGGCTTTGCTGCTCTGCTTCCAACACAGCACTCTGCTACTGGACCTGGGAAAGCATCAGAAGATGGTGTTAAGTGTTTAGGTCCCTGATACCCACACAGGAGACTCAGATGGAGTTCGAGGCTCCTGGCTTCAACATGGCCCATCTCTGGCCACTGCAGCCATTTGGGGGAATAAACCACCAAAGGAAAGATTTCTCTCTCTCTGACTCTCCCTCTAATTCCGCTTTTCAAAAAAAAAAAAAAAAAAAAAAACTTTAAAAATGCTGATATAATCTTATCAAAAATTAAATGATATGACTATAAATGATACACAGAAATATAAAAAAGTTAAAACTTACATACATACCAGACTTCAAGAGTTATTACAGGTTAGTTACAATCAAAACAGCCTGGTATTGGCAGAAAAACATACAAAAGTTGACCAACGGAATAGATTAAGAACACCAGAAATTAATCCACACATCATACATTTGGAAAGTGAACTAATGCAATGGAAGACTGCTTGTCTGCCTTTCTGTCTCTGTCTCTCTTTCTCTCTCTCTGCCTTTCACATAAAATAAAAATAAATTTAAAAAATAATTTAATAGGCTTAATGAAATATCTAAAGAAAGCTAAAAAGTTAAAACTATGACGTTGTAGCAGAATAAAAGAAACCAAATCTGTACAATCAAGAGAAAGAGTGGCTGTAGAGCAATGATGGATGAACTTTTCACAGAAGGTAACATGGTAAAATTCACACCAAAAAGGAAGCAATGGAAACTTCTGAATAACATTTAACTTAGATATCAGGATACATTTTCTAACATTAAAAGTTACCAAGTACTGAAAGGCTTTTGGTGATAATAGATAATGCAACTTTGTAAACCTGCTTACTGAGTCCTTTATTCTACATATAAATAAGCTGTAACTGTGGACTGTATCATACAGAGTAAGAGTGTGGTTTCTGAACTCAGGATTATCGAAATTTGAATTCTATTCAAGAGCTGTTTCACTTTAGACAGTATTCTAAGACTCAGTTACCTGACCTATAAAATAAAGAAATAACACCACAGACAGTTGGTCTGACACTTACACACTAAGAAACAGAGATCTATTGTCAGTATCTGATGCACAAGTTCAATATTAATCATCATTATTATATAGTTGTTGAGCACAACTTAACATTTTTGCCTCAGTTTACATAATAAAAATCCAAAGTAACATGTGAAATGGAAAAGCATATTCTCTCTGGCTTAAAGTTCAATTTTATATTCATTATCTTTATGATTACAATCTAAATGGAAGGCCTTCTTAAATTATATTCTCCGTT